AGATAATGAGATAAAAATTACATTAGATAAGTTATAAGTGATAAAAAGTTAATATTATACATGGTGAGTCCAGAAACAAAAATGAGATAAGCTTGATAGTTATTTATGTATCAATAATTGCCAGAGAGGTTCTTAAGAGTCTGTGTGGCCGAAGGAAATATATATTATATTTCAGAAATCTGTCAAAAGCTTAGCCTGATCCTGTTTTGTTAAGCCACACCGACAATTCCAAACACACGTGCTTTGATTAAGGCTTGATTAAGGTTTGCAGAGCTTCAGAATTTGCCATAAAACAGCGAGCAATTTGTTAGAAAGCCATATAAATTATATATCACTGTAATCATAAAACTTCAATCTGTTTCCGTGTTGTAACGGAATTTTAAATTATGTTCTTATTTTCGAGAAAATTTAGTCCAAACATAAGAAACATTTTGTTGATGTTTGACCATCAAAATCTTAAAAATAAAGAAGTTGTCTGAAAATGTGCTACAATACTGATATAGTATGATCCTTTATCTTTAATTTCCTTCTTCATTTGTGTAAAAATACCTAGCCAGTTTTACATAAAACGTTAAATGCCGAAAGCTTATTTTGCTACTTTTTCAGACTAGTGAAATGGACTCTTAAGAGTTGTCTAATGTGTCTCTGATGCAACTTGTTTAATTTCTAGCCCAATTTCTTTGGTGCTTGTTCTTTCAGTGTACACAAACGAAAACATTTTTCCAGCTAAATATTTAATTGCTGTGATTTTTTCCGTTGTTGTTTACAAATCAAACAGCATTATTGTTTAGAATATTTCAACAAAAAGGCTCGTTGTATGTGCTTACTAATAACAGTAATAACCAATCAAGTCATTTAAAACAGCTGTTTGTTTTGGGACTAATTATTATTATTTAATTTTACTAATGGTATTGTATTCGTCAAGGACGTTGTGATTTGGAGATTTAAAAAATTACAAATAAAATAGTTCTGTTGTTATTGGATTTAATTTTTATTTTAAAATATTTTAGGCAGTATGAAGTTAGTTTTCTTCAATACTTCTTCTTCAGGTGCCTCTTCTCAACAAAGATTCTTCTTGTTTTTCTGCTACTACCGTATCACGATCCTTTTCGATACTGCCATATCACGATCTTTCTTGGTAATTCCCAGCATATTTTGTTCAATGGAGTGTTCTTATATATTTCGAAAAAATAATAAATCATCACATATATAATTACTATAACGCCTTAATTATTTTTTGCCAAAAACAGCGGAAAAAGATATTTTTCTCCATTTTTGACACAAGCACGATATCACCGCTCGCTGTTTTCCCAAGTTAATTATGATTTAATTACGCCCAAATTACATGACGTAACAAATTGTTCCCATGCCGTTTGCTCATCTGTTACAGCACGCACTTTATTTTATTCTTTTTTTTTAATTTGTGTCTTTGCCATCAAATTACCTACTTGGGTGACAATTTGCGAGATTTATTTCATCAATGACACAGAAAAAACAATAATTATTCAACGTTGCATAAACTAAAATTATTACAACCATATATTCTATAAGAATAAAATAAATGCAAAAGCATAGAGGACTTGATTACATTTTTTAAGTAAAGATGTATTTTAGAACCGTGTTATTTCAACTAAATCACACAATTACTCATGTAAGGGTATCTCAAAATGAATTTAGCAAAAATTAAAGTAAACTACAAAGAGCTATTAGACATGCAGCAAAGACATTCAAATCAATAACACAACACTAAAAATAGTAGGAGAATATACAGGGTGTTCCAGATATAAGTGCAGGTATTTTAATTGGTAGTATAGTTCAACCCCAGAAAAACGCCTGAGGTTTTTTCGCAAAAAATTTTTTTTTGAAAATTCGAAATTTTTTGAATTTTTTTGGAAATGTTTTTAGTTAAAAAAACATAATTTCTTGATAATATGGCAACATAGGTATTAGATTAAATTTACTAGAAAGAAAATCCAGAAAAGATCCAGTGGTTCGCAAAATATTAGCACAAAATCATTTTTTTGGAAATTTTCAAAGTAAAATAACTCCGTTATTTTGGACTAATTTGAAAAACGATACTTCCACTTATTTCTGGGACACCCTGTATATTAAGGACAACTAATACACAGCTCGGGATCTCTACTACCAGAAATCAACAGAAATTATTAGTTATTTATTAGTCATATATTAGTCATGAGCTTCACAGATCTTTCTCTGGACCAAAGATCTGAGAAGGCAAATGAGCAGAGCAACGGCCATGTTCTGAGGCAAATAGTGTGGACAAACCCCTTCATGCGAACAGGCAGCAAAATTAAAATTTATAAGACCTGCATCAGATCAATAATGGCATAGAAATCTGAGAGGAAACAAACAAAACCAAAAGCATGTTGAGCGTCGCTGAAATGAAGAACCTAACAACCATGATAGGGAAGACAAAAAAGAGACAGAATTAGAAACACAAATATCTGACAACAATGAGGAATACAAGACGTAGTGAGTTTTTTATTTATACAGACTTAGTATAATCCTTTTTTCAAGATTTAGCAACATAGTTTCATGATCCTCGTCTTGTTAGACAAATTTGGAAAAATGAGATACCTAATAATCCTTTAATAAGAAGAGATTACCACGCCGCTGATTATATTAAAAAGTATTAAAGAAAATAATCTGATATTTTTATTTCTTAGAAAAAACAACTAAAAATATTTTTCTTTTACCTTATCTGTGTGCTTTTATTAGATACCTATTTGTAATTAACTGATAAGAGTATGATTATTTATTAATGCATGATAATAACCAATAATCATTTAAAAGGATTATTATTAGTTGTAAAAATAAAAACATATTTTATTAAAAATATTTTTTGTGTTGTTTGTTTTTTTACGCAATCCTTTTAATAATAATTACACAAAATTTAACCTAAATTTTTGGCATTTTAAAATTTTCAAATATTTTTTACTTTAATTAAAAATACTTTTTTCAAAATTAATGTATTATATTAATTAATTAATGCTTATATCGTCTTAGTTATGCTAAATATTAATGGAATCACATAACTCTTTTGGGACATTATTAACAGCATTTAAGATGCAATAATTCCCTCTAGCTTTTATAGGTAACAACCACGAAATACAATAGATATTTTGAGTAATAATATAAAATAAAAATAGAACGCAATGGAGAAGAATGATGAAGATGAAGAAGAATGGAGAAGAATTGTAAACTCAGTTAACAGCGACAACCAAAAGGTAAAAAGGCAACAAAGAAATGATAGTTTTGAATGTCCAGAGAGATAACATCACATATCGGGCTTTTCAGTCACAGAAAAGCTCATGAAAGAAAACGCCTTGCGTGACCATCTTCTGATGCGTGTCAAATACTTGTCAACGAATAATGGCAGTATATGGCAGTATGTATGTATGTATGAATAGATTTTCAAAGATACGCCACCCTGTATAGCATGAATATTCTTTGAAATATAACTAATTATCCAGTGTAACTCCTACAAGGTTTATAAAATGTCTTAAAATTAATTAACATCCATTTTATTACATTTCTTATAAACTATAATTTAAGTTAAATTACTTATTATAGTCACTATAAGACTGTTATTGGCAGGGTTTCTTAAAACCCTAAAGAATGAAATTGAATATCATTGAAATAGGAGGTATTTGATCTCATACAGGTAGTGCAATAAAATCCTTTTAACTTGAATTAGAGCTAATGAAAGATGTTTCAAAACACTTGAAATGGCCCCGACAAGGTTAATAAAGATACAGGGTGATAGATCCCTTTGAATAAAAGTATTAACGAAGGAATATAATGCTATAATAAATGCCACAAATGTTTGGGAGTTATTCATCGGTCGCTACCATGTGAACTAATCTGTTTATGGTCACATAAAACTTAATTCCAGTGCCGTGGTGTTTCAAGTCATAATAATCAATATATAATCTGTTGTAATTTGTTGTTTTAACTGTCAAAGTCTTGTCAAAACATATATTTGGTTATAAATATAAAATGGAATGCCCCATTGGTCGCACTGCAAGCACACCAATGGACTGACGCACAAAAACTCATCTATTTTTATTAGAATTATAATATTTTTATAATTACAAACATTTATTGACAACTTAAAAATAAACAACAAATTATTGAGTCTACCCTACATCATATTTTTATACGTTTTGAACAAAATAAGTACGGCACTGGTAAACCGGAATTTAAATCGGCCATTTTTGGCCCCCATCGCACTCCTAACCTACCTAAGTTTTTTGAGTTACTTCTTCCTTAATTTTTTTATTCAAAGGTTTGATCAAACCTATTATGTTTTTTTTTCTGAAAACAATTTTTTTTTTCGAAAAATACAGCGACTTAAAAACCTCATAGACGTGTTTCATCCATCGTAATAGAAAAAAAAAATATTTTTCTCAGTGTACCTATATATAGCTGATACTTTCTTCATAGTCTGATAGTCTATCTTATCGGTATTGTCTAGAGGGTCGTACCGAGCTTTTTAACAGAGCCAGTACCGCTCAGTTCAAAGTTTCCAGCCACGCAACAAGGTGCGTGAGCTTTTGTACACCTCGAAGAACTCGATTTTGTCGTTCGTTCAAACATTAAATAAATGTTTGAACTGATAAAGATTCCTAGTACTAATCGTGACGGCAAGTTCTTGATGGTACTGCGTTATCGGTACTCGTCCTCTGATAATATGTGAATCTTTTGCCGGTTTTTGTGTCAAGTGATTGGGAAAAAATTACCGTTTTGACGAACTGAAATTTAAAAATGGTAAGTATTTCATTTTATATTCCTTCTAGCGTGTGCCCGCGACTTCGTTCGCGTCGAATTAATCAGTTGTAATGGTGATGATAAAGCAAAGCAAGAATTTCCATTGACATACAAACTGGATAAACTTTTCTCACATTTATGTCAGCATGAGAAAAAACAATATGGCGATGTTATTATATAACTTGGTAACATTTGAAGGGTAGTTTCGAAAAATCCGTTTGCCAAAAATAAGCTTTTTACGGGTTAATCAATTACCCAACTTTTTGGAACACCCTGTATGATTTTTTAAAAATTTCAAAATATGTAAAAAAACAAAATAGATTATGCGTGTCCAAGCGTTTTCCCGAAAGACTAACCGTTTTTTAAATAACAAATATTGTAATATTTGGGGCCGTTTTCACCCTCTTGGAATTTGAGATTCGAGAAACCCCTCCTTATCGAACCTCTACACCCCACCGTCAATCCGTTTGCCAAAAATCAGCTTTAAACGTCAAGCAGTTTAAGCAGATTCGTGATTACTCAATGGTCATGTTTTATGAAACACCCTGTATAAATTTATAAAAAATCTTTAAATATGTAAAACAACGAAATAAAATATACGTGTTTAAGAGTTTTTCCGAAAAACTCACCGGTTTTTAAATAAAAAATATTTTAATATTTGAGGGATAGTTTCACCCCCTCAGAATTCGAGTTTCAAAATAATCCCTTCTTATCGAACCTCTACACCCTTAAGTCAATCCGTTTTCCAAAAATCAGCTTTTTACGTCAAGCGCTTTAAGCAGGATCGTGATTAATCTATGACCAGATTTTTCGAAACATCCTGTATACATTTTGAAAAAAATCTTAAAATATGTAAAAATACAAAATAAAATATACGTGTTTAAGCTTTTTTTCGAAAACTTGACCGTTTTTTAAATAAAAAATATTGTAATATTTGAGGGGTGGTTTCACCCCCTTGGAACTGGAATTTCGAAAAATCCCTTCTTATCGAACCTCTACATCCTAGAATCAACCTGTATGCCAAAATTGAGCTTCTTACGTTGAGTGGTTTGAGCAGGATCGTGATTAATCAGTATGTCAGTCTATATTAGTATAGATTAGCCTTTCTTTATGGATCCAACTGACTAACCCAAGCTGTTGCTAGGATATTCTATTAATTTTAATTGTATTTTTTAAACATTGTGAATGATCGTAAACCAAAAAGTATAAAGTGTAGTTGAAACCACTAATTTATTCCAATAATTGCGAGGTACTGAATGAAGCTTTAGAATTAAATGACATTAAATAGATTCATTCTTTTCCAAATTTGAGTATTTTTTTCAAAGAATGGTAGAAAGAAACAGGTACCCACCATATAATAATAAATATAGCCAATATATAGCTATAACACCATAATCTTAGGTCGTACGAAAATTCACGTCTAGACGTTTGAAGATAGTATATATATTTTCAATGGGTTTTCCAACAAAAAAAAAGCATTGCTATTATTCTCACGTTTACGTCATTGTATTTATACCAAGAAAATAAATATTTATTGCTTTATGGTGTTATTTTCTTAGTACTAACAATAAAATAAGGCGTCACAGTGGCAATTGAAACATCAATAATTGATAGGTAATAATCTCACTCAAACTAATTACTCTATGTAATATCTTAGACGACAACCATTCGTGCCTGATCAACCAAGTGTAGACATGGCTTTACCGCACATATTTCATCAGTACTCTAGAAATATCGTCAATAAGTTCTAATACACACGTTTAGAAGTCGATTTTTCTAATATGATGAAAATAAAACACGTTTTTTCTACAACGTTTGCTGTGTTTGCTCAATAATAATAAGTGATTGATAACTGCGTACTGATGTATATACCGTATGATCGAAAAAAACGGCGTCAAATATATATATATATATATATATATATATAATAAAAAATGATATAACGCTTAACACTAACTATAGAAAGACTAAAAAAGGATAGAACATAATTTTCAGACACAAAAATCTATTTTTGTATCGGTGTGCGATTTTAAAACACAAATAATGAACACAAAAAAACACAAAAAAAGAAAACACATAGGTATCTTAAAAATTACACCAAACAACATCAACCAACCGCGAAACTCGAAACCAACTTAACTAAATTAGAAAAAAAACATAACACAAAAAATATAACTAATATATTCAGCAATATTATACTAAATAATAAAATAACATATTTAAACTTGAATAATTGCTAATAAATATTTAGAAACTTCAAAATAACTTCAGAAGTAAGATCAGTAAGAGATAGCTTCACTACTTATTCAGAAGAGTTTGATTTCGACTGCTGGAAAGTATGAAAAGTCACGTAACAAAAAATATGTTTCTAATTATTATTACCGAGTCCCGAAAGTACCGGGAATGTACGGAAAGAACCGGGAATTAATAATTTCGAGTCCCGGTTCTGAACCCTAAGTACTAATAAGATAGAGATAGAGTACTCGTCGTACCAACACCACCTGGACTCAAGGCCAATCAACATGATGTGGGCAAGGTAAATATGGCGGCGAAGGCAGCGCATTATTAAATTGTTTACCTTTAACCTGAAAAGCCGGTAGTGGTTTCTCGTTCCGATTGCATACCTTATGGCTACTGCTTACACTTACCTCACTATAAGTAAAATATTGGAAGAAGAATCAATCTTTTTACATCAAAAAGATCACAGAAAGATATTGACAACATTGACATTTGAAAATATAAATGGCCTGGATGTAAGTCTTTTTTAGGTCACAATTGCCCCTCACATACGTCAGAATTTATTCTTAATTCCATCTTGTTCAGAATATCCAATATTTTATTGAAGAACTATGCAAAAAAAAGGAATGACGTCTTTACCACAAAGACAATGCCCTATGTAAAGAGAAAGAGTAAAGAAAACTAAGCTAAGCGTAAGTTTTACTTACGAACAACCAAAAAGGTACCTATTTAGTTTTTTTTTATATAAAATCTTGAAACACATATTATATTTTTTAGTTATCCTCACCTATTATAGTTTAAATTTATTCCCATTTGTGTAATGCTGCAAAACATAGAAAAAATATTCCATATTTTTTGATCCAAGCCAGTGTAGTTTATAATTCCAAGATCATTTAAATACTAAATAAAAAAAAAATAAAAAAAAAAGGCTTTTACTAAGACAAGTAACTTCCTATACTGTCCATAATAGTATATATTTATCAAACGTTCAGTAAATTCTAAACTATGGTAGGTAAGTGTTTGCAATTGAATATTTAGTTTATATTGCTATTTTCTGTCATATATTTCTGGTTATTTCTTTCTCCGATGATTTTGAACACCATATATAATATGCTACCTCAAGTTTGAATATTTTAACACTACCTATTTTCTAAGGTTGAATGGCCTTGTGTGGAGGTGGTGGTGGTCGTACTCTATCTTATTTTAAAAGACAGTACGACGTTAATATCTCCCACCGAGCAGTATTCCCGAAAAAAAAACACATCAAAATAGAAAGTCTCCTAATTTTAGACCGAAGTAAACAAAAACGGGATCAAGAAGTGGGGTCGGGTCCACGATATCTTCCTTCGGGATCGTACCGTTTTGCCAAATCGTACGTCGCTACTCGTTTAGAATGTGTATTTTTAATAATAACACAGAGACTAGTATTGGTCAGTGCACGTACTTCAGTACAAAAAATCGTCCATTCAACTATGTTTTGTTGCCGTTCAAAGGTGGTTACAGTGTATTATTAGAAGCTTTGTTTATTTGTTCTGATTTTGTCAAAAAAAACTACGCGTAGTTCGCAAAAAATGGACGACCAAGACTATAATCCTGATTATCAGGTAACAAGGTTATGTAACAGTCTTTTTTTTTTTAATTTTTGGACTAATATTTTTGATTTGTACTGCATAATTGTTAAGTGGATTTAGTTATTCAAGCTATTAGATAGCTTGGTATGATTTTGGTCTAGTTTGTTGATGGTTTGGTTATGCTAACTACAAATAGAGTCAAATCACTCCCTTGAGACATTTTTAACGGGAATTAAGATGTTATAATTCCATCTACCTTTCATAGGTATAACAACCATGAAATACAATAGAGATTTTGAGTAATAATATAAAATAAAAATGTACAGGGTGGGTCGAATTCGACGCTTTTAAATGGAAACACTCTATATACTAAACACTCTATATACTCCTATATTTCTATAGGAGATAGACGAAAACTAATATCGGTGTCTGGAGCTCAATTTTCATCAAAAACATGATGGTGAAACCCGCACATCAATATCTGTTGCCGTTTCGGAGGTACGGGGTGTTTTTCAAAAACGTGCATTTTTAACAAATCGCTGTAACTTTTTTGCAATAGAAAATTTTGAATTTCTATGAAAACATTTCCAAAGCACCTTTTTACGTAGAATTTAATGGTTTAAGTATAATTTTTTAAAAATTAATACCTAGTTTAAGAGTTATCAACAGAAAAATTGATTTTTATTTGGGACACCCTCTATATTTTTAATTAACTGAAAAGAATTTAAAATTACCTTTCCAAAAATATAGCACACTTGATATTTAGTTATAATCCCCTTCGAAATACAGAATAATATTTAAAAGTTGGCCACTTTTAACTAGTAGGCTTTGGACCCCTTATTGATGATATGCCCTTAATGGAACTCGAAAATATATTTTTTCAGCAAGACGACGCACCGCCTCAGAACGCTGAAGTTATCAGCAAATTTTTGCAACCAATTTCGAGAATAATTGAATATCTAACCAAGATCCCAGCCGTTGGCCGTCGAGGCCGCCTGACTTAGTGCCCATGGATCTAATCCTATGGATATATTTGCGGAAGAATAAAGGTTCCTTATTCTTCCGTATAATCTACACAAGATTTAGAAATACTTAGCAGTTATGAGAGGGTATCTTTCACCCCTACTGAGTTAATGAATTCCGCGAGAAATGTTCAAAAACGGCCCCGTCTGTCCATAACAGAATGTCGAA